GCTGGGGTACCTGATTTTCACACTGCGGAAGGAAGAAGGAGGTGTTCAGATCTGTCAAACTTGTCCGTGTAGCCCTCACAAACCATCACAATGGTAATATATTGGCCAGGGTTCCTCACGATTTGATACGATACACAATACTTGGTTCTTGATACGATATGATCAAGACATGGAGATGCAATAATTGATATATTGCACATAATACTCTCTTTTAAGAACCAGATACATTTTAGCAATAATATTTCTTTGTTAAACCACTACTTGTTAATATGTTAAAATAAAATACATCTATTTAAACCATCAAAACAGTGAATATGTCAAGTGTATTAAAATTGTAGTGCAAACAGACAAAAAAAGTACAAAAAGAATCAGAAAAAACATTTAAAAACACTGGATGCGATATAGCGATACAATAGTCCGCGATAACAATACTGTATCATCAAACTTAGTGTCACGATATTTCAACATTTTTGCGCACCCCTAATATCCACATGCATTCTTTTCTGGGCACAGCTTTAGAACTGATTTTTTTCGTCAGTGAAGAGACAGTCCAACCGCAGCCAATCAGAGCGCTACATCCGGCTCTTACTACTGGGTTGGTGCAAAAATAAATAAATAAAATTTCTTCTAAGCGTCCAGCCGTGAAATAAAGTGCTTTACTCTCACTAAAACGCCAGTACCTGTGTATGTCAGGAGGTTCACTTTACTTCACTTTACTGCCTGAATAATCATTACAAATAAAGTGGAAAGGTAAAGTGGAAGCTGCAGGCAATAAGAAGTTAGTCACTTAACAAGATTTGAAGTGATTTTTTTTTTTTTTTTTTTTTAAGAATTATTTTTTGCTGCTGATAGCATGAAACAACAGAATCCCAATATATGTAAAACGAATTTAGCTATAACTTTTTAAAAAAACTAAAAAAAAAACTTGAATATACTAACAATGAATATCTCAAGATTTTACCCCAATAATGTTTGCTGATGATATGACTTTATTCATATCCAATTCAAACTTTAATTTTCTAATAAACCAAACTAGTGTTGCATTATCTGCTTATGACAAATGCTTCAAAAAACAAATTATCTCTGAATGTCCAAAAAAAAACTAATTATATGATTTTTTTTTTTTTTTTGTGGCAAAAAATCATTTCCAGCTAACTCTAAAATCAAAATTGATTCAAATGAAATAATTTGTGTCTCATCCAACAAATTTCTGGGCGTCTAAACTGGAAAGAACATGCTGACTGGGTGACCAGAAAAAATAATAAATCTCTTGGTATTATAAGAAAAGTCTGTAAATTTCTGGACTCAAAGTGTATACTTTCATTATAATATAGTTTAATTTATCCCAGTCTGTCTGTACTGTAATATAGTTTGGGCCAGCACTTTTTGTACTACTCTGAACAATATATTATTGGTGCAAAAACGTTTTGTTCAAATTGCAACTCATTCCAGGCTACTAACATTGTCTGCTAATTTATTAATCAAACTTAACATTCTTAATATTTATGAGATTAATATTTATCAAATTTGTATTTTTATGTATAAAATTCTTTATAATTCAACGACGATCCCCAAACATTTCACATTTTACTTTAAAACCACTGCAGAGATTCATAGATACAAAACGTCAGAATCATAATTTTCATTTGTTCCAAAATGTGTCACATGCAGAGCTCAGTTTTGTCAACGATACAGAGGCTGTAAATTCTGGAGCCAGTTTTCACATCTGGTTAGTGACGGCATATCAGAGGCATTGTTTTTTTGAGGAAATGTTTGATATTTCATGGTAATGTTACATAATCATTCAATTGTGTTTCATTCTCTTTTAATCCATGTTTGAATCAAATGAATTTAATTGTTTTTTTTTTTTTATGCACAGCGATAACGTTACATTTTTTTTATGTATTCATAACTTGGAGGCTTTAATAAAAGCCCTTTTGGGTTTTTTGCCTCTTCTGGCACTTACTTTTTTATCTAGTGCTTTTTTTTATTGTTATGATGTACGTGCAAAATAAATAAATAAAAATAAATAAATGAACCCGTTATGTACAGGGCCAAAGAAGTGTCAAGGCTTATGTAGTTGAAGTTAAATGTACATGCTGTCCCTGTGTATCTATAATTGTATTTTAAGTTGACTTGCTAGTTAGTTATTTTAATACCAAATGCATATTGGCTTGTGCTAGACCTATTTACATCAACACAAATTATAATATATATTCAGGTTTTAGGTAATCTGTTTAAAAACTTCTAAACTTATACCATTTGAATGATATTCTTGTTTGAGCAGTCTCAACAGTGCACCAGTGAAAGCTTGTCATGGAGACTCATCATCTTCTTTAAGCCTAATGACTAAATCCTATTTTTCTATTTGTCTGAGCCTGAACCTGCCAATGCTATATTCTTAGCTTGAGTGAGATCCAATAACATTATCCGATACTTATTGCATGTCCGGTTAGCTTAGCGTAGCACCACTGCTCATCCTCCAACTCAGGGTCCACAAAGTCCATGTAATAATATAGACAGTCGCAGCAGCAGCAGCAGTGTGGCGGCTTTGACTAAATTACTTTAAGCTCATTCTCTTCCCTGTATAAGCTGTCCATATGTCTATATTCACCTGTAGCTTTGGATGGGAAGAGGCAGTTTCCATGGTGACTGTCTGCACCCGTGTCTAAGGAAATGGAAGGAGGAAAAAAAGGAGGAAGGATGTCAAATGTGTGCTGTAGCTCATTGATAAATAACCGTACAAACTATAATGCTGTTACTTTCACCATATACTCACTCACAATGTTCTTCTTTTATTATGATGAGAAATTATTACGCACTATGTCGTTTTTCTACCACCACTTACTTGTCTCTGAAGATATTATTGTTTTGTGTTGAATGTTTCGCGGTATGCCACTAAACCGATCTATCCCTCTATCTACAGGCAAAGCAATAACGTCTCAAAGGTGGAGAACCATCCAAGAAAACTTACACAGTGAACCTTTACATTTTGATAATTTGATCAAATCGCAAACTTCATGCTATATTAACTAGGGATGTAACGATATCCAAAACTCTCTGTACGATATTTTGGAGAGGCTGATATAATTGTAGATACAACACTTTTTTGCTTTTAAAATACCCTGACAAGATTTTGGTGTGAATTATTACTGTCATAATTGCAAGAATTCAAGTCAAAAACATATTTCTACATGTTGTCTGCGCTGAAATGAATCATGGGATATGTAGTTCCCCATGTTTATTCGCTATTACTACTATAAAACCATGCATTTAAGCAAAGGATTTTGTAATTTGATATATTGTGATGGCCCACGATATTATTGTGATACTTTTGATGATACAATATCACGACATTTTGGTTATTGTTACATTCCTAATGTTAAACAAACTAAAAAACCAAACCCCCCCAAAAATATTAGCTTTGATATCATTGAAATCTAACTACTCATTGCTTTATCGGTATACATTCAGAGCATCTTACTGGAGTTGAGTCAATATTTAAAGATCTTAAGTTCTGTTTTTCCTCAAAAATTCCTAAAGCAATATGTCAGTGATAGTGGACGATTAAATGATTTTCTCTCAAATTCCCTCCAGATTCCCGTCTTTGAGCGCATTATTCTTTGGAGCAGGAGAAAACTCCGCTGTGCCACAGTAATAAAGATGATAAACCAAAAGCCCAGTGAGGATTTGTGGAGATTTACAGATCTACAATTCAAAGAGCTTTATCCAAAAATGAACTCTCTGTGTGTGTGAATCTGAGACTGTTTATATGGACGGTTTTTGCTGTCATCTACTTTGTATATTTTTCCATTCTGCAAAGTCATAGTCATCCTAAACCTAACAATGCATTCTTGAAAGGTTTTATATTGTCCACAACAGGGAATGTCATTTACACTTGGTTTGACCTAGTTTAGTCCTGGACAAGACTTGCTCCTGTTCTAGTCTAGTCCAGGTTTAGTTTCAGGTTCAGTCCCAGTTTTGTTTATATGTGAATGCAGCTATATAAGAAAACATCTTAACAGACATCCGCAAACAACAATTTTGGTACAAACAATTGTAAATGTCATCTCTAAATGTCAGATTAGCGATTTGAGCATTATTGAAATATATTTTTTTGTTTGCTAAATGAATACAGCCGTCTATTTATTGTAATAAATAATGTCGTAAATGCTATCCCTATTCTCAAAAAAGTCCAGTTGTTTTTTTATTTAATTTCAGACAGACAGTTTCTAACTATTACTAATACGAAAACTGTCATCGAAACTTCATACTTTTCTGACAAAACATGAACTTGAGTCAACCAATTTGATTTTTTCCTGAATTTAAGTAAAGCTTGGATGTAAAAGCAAATATCCAAATCTCTCTGTGCGATATTATCACGATATGCATCTCACGGTACGATATTTATTGCGATATTTTGGAGAGGCTGATGCAATTGTAGATAAGACACGTTTCTGCTTTTAAAATACCTTGACAAGATTTTGTTGTGAATTATTTCCATCACAATCCCAAGAATTCAAGTAAAAAACATATTTCTTCATGTTGTCTGCACTGAAATGAATCATGGGATATGTAGTTTCCTATGTTTATAAGATGTTGCTACTGTAAAACCATGCATTTAAGCAAAGGAACTTGTGATTTGATATATTGTGATGACCCATGATATTATTGTGAGACTTTTGACGATACGATATCACAATATTTCGGTTATATGTATATTTCGGGTAGTATAAGACCAATACACACAATGATGCTTCTATTTATTTAATATTTATAACAAAACTAGTAGTAATTTATCTATAAAATAATATTTTATTGTGGTATATCAAACATCTTTTCGTGAGTATCAAAATAGAATTGGAAATTGTACCATCTATTTGTGACAAGTTTAATCTGCTTGGTGTTCTCAGGATCGGCATTTAGTTGCAGTATCTATAGCCCTAGTTTTGTCCTAATTATTTTGACCTTGAATGTTTTCCCTTTGTTTTCCTGTATAGTCTAAATGAGCAGAGGACACTTGGACAGGGCATATGTGGAGAGCAGATACCCCACGGGCGGATATGACAGTGTCCTGACAAATGTGTGTACTTGGGCTGCAGAGGTGAGCTAACGTATGTGCATAATTCATCAGCCTGACAAACCCACGTAATTGAGCGCTATGGTTACAGCCTTGTCTCTGCGCAACACTCCCTGAATATTTAGGTAAAACAGACAGGCTTTGCATCATTTTCAAAGTTTGGCCGGTCTGAATGCGACTATGTCAAGTTTATTCAGTGTTGCAATTATTGGCAAGAGCCCAAATGAATTAATGCAGAAATGTTAAGTGGTTCTTTTAAGTAATGAAAATGGTGTTGACTTCAAAAGTGTCCAACTACATTAAGGGAATCAATATCAAGTTTTAATTTAATCTGTGGAGTATCCATTCCATACACAAATTATTTCAGATATTTCGCTTGGTGATATTTTGGATTTGTTGGTATACAGGCCCGTTGATAGAAATTTACGGGGCTGAGACAAGAAGTCTTACTTGGGTCACCTTCTAATATAAATTAATAGGATAAAGACCCAATTCTGGACCCTTAAGACCCTGGGGCCTGGTACAACAGACCCATTTGTCTCCGTCTACTCTCCTGGTTATATATTCAGCACCACTTTCTAAACATAAACATATAATACAATACAATAAATATATTTCTGAGGGACATATATCTCGTAGTGTGTAGTGTATTGTAGTTGTAGTTGTAGTTGTAATTTAATCACTTCACTGGGTCATAACCTGCTGGTCATGACTGAAACATAACTTCTCAAATATTTCACAACCATAACCTATTTAAATTTTAGGCTCTTCTCTTCAGTCACTTCTTTTCCTTGAATTGGCGTTGCTTTTGTTACCTGTTGATATTTTGTGAGTAAATATTTTAATAATTTTGTGATCTTATTGTGCAGTACTTCTGAGCAGTGCAGATTCACAGTATCCATGGTGAAATCAAATGTTCATTATTAGACCAAGTGGCTGGTGCGTACGGTCTTATGAGTGTGTTATAAGTACAAAGAGATGACTTTACCGGTAGGCCTGTTGCAACAACAAATTTTGAAACATGATATATAGCTACAGAGAAATATTGCAGCTGATTTTCCTCTTGGTTATGCCAAGAGCAGCTTTAACAGATACTGTGGAGATCCTGCAGATACAACAATAACAGAAAAAGGGGAGTGGAGGTAGAACTAAAAACTATTGGTGGTTTTCAGATGATATCTATATTTATCATACATGATGTGATCTCATGTGGAGCAAGAGCCCACTTTTCTCTATTGATTACATTGTATGCTAGCATGAAATATCTAAAAGGTCAAATTGCAAATGTTAAACCTGATCATTTCAACAACTGACGAGACCCAAATGACTCACTGCATTACAATAGAAATCTGCATTTTAACTAAATTAATTTTGTCTGTTTCCCATCTGTAATTTTTATGGCCTCTAGAATGCTGTGCAGTCATCTGAAACACAGCAGTAACTTTTGCTCCATTGTATCATTATTTATATCATTAACACAAATTTTCTCTTTTATATCATGATCCAAATGTCCTACAGTGCAAGGGCACTGTGAGCTATCCCCTCTCCCTGAGCTCATCCTGTTCCTATAGCTCCAGTCCTCTGTGTTATCTGTGCGGCGTCCATGTTTACGTGAAGGCCAGAGGAGAGCTGATCTAGCCCCGTCGCCCTGATAGTCCTATCTACTGTTACTTCTGTCTGATGCACTGCAGAACAACTGGCCCATTGTGCATCTCTGTGTGTTCACTAAGCCACAAGAAATTGCTTTTGTCGTAGCCTCAAATGTCAGAGTGCGTGTGCTGCAGTATAATCTGCCACAGGCCAGCGCATGCGGGCCAATGTACAGCACAGAGAGCACAGTGGAGATGGGGCTCGTGCTCGCTATCGACCGCGAGTGTTTTCATTGTAAAAATATGAATGAAAGTGGAATTACTAGAGATGACGTGAGGTCAGATTTTAAGAAACGTTGCAGTTTTATGATTATTGACCCATGGGAGAAAAACAATAAGTAAACTTATTAAACATAAACTTGGGCTGCCCATTCAAATGAAGCTCACGATGCTTGTGGTTATGGGGCGAATTTGGAGCTGATCTCCATATTCGAAATAGCTGAATTGCTGGATAAAAACACCAGGATCATGCAGTGCAGGTTAATACAAATGTTTTAAGACCAAAATGACGAGGCTTACTGCAGCAATTAAAGAGAGAGGGGTGACAATTTTTAAATTTAAAGTCAATTGGAAACAGAGTCGATGGAGCCTGAAGCACCTCCGTGAACACTTCCTATTTGGAAGCGAGCAAGTTAGCTATGTCGATTTATACAGTCTATGGCTGCAACTAACAATTATTTCAGTATTTGACTAGTCTGCAAAGTCAAATTATTATTTTTATAGGTCTTTTGTATGTATTTTAGAGTCTGTATAATTCTGTTACGATTGTGATTATTAAAATACGACTGTGATTACTTTTTATAATTGAATAGTTACAGGGCTAATGAATTGTTGCAGCCCTAAATTAAACTGCCTTACCAAGGATGTCACAAGGTCAAATGTTAGTGCTGTGATTATTGTGAGAATATTTGATTGTCACAAAGAGTCTACCAATGAACGACAAAAATACGGTCTAAATGACGCAATACCTTTCTTTTCTGTCACACCCCATTGAGCTTTTAAACATATGTATTGTGCACTACATTTTAATTTCAATACCAACCTACAGCACCTAAAGTATTTTTATGGTTCTTCTATAAACCTTATGCTATATTGTGACGTGTCTCTATTCCACTTGTAAGAGACTCCTGGGCTTATCCATACCACTTCTCAAATCAGAAATCAATACGGCTTATGCGCATGGGTAAGGTCATGTTTAAGTCCAAGGCAGCAATGAAATGCATTCTTGGTTTTGACCAGAAATCTGAATCATTATTTCTGTTCCCATGACCCTTGTGACAGTTTTATGATAATCCCACAGCATTTCATTTCATTATATGTGGCCAATATTCTAAATAGGCTCCAATAAATTATTTTCTAATGAGTTCTTGGAATAAATGTCCACATCCACTCTGAACTTCCTGACCCACTGTTGACCTTTCCTCTACGATTCAAACCATAACTTTTTTGATCATGACATTTTTCACACTTTTGTTGACCATATAACTTTTAAAAATAATTCAGATGTTTATTTGGCTTGATTCATATGTTTTAGATTATATAAATACAGTAATAAACAGGTCATTGATTACCTTTTTAACAGCACATAATAAGGCCTGATTATTACTGTTCCAGTTTTTTTAAATTACATCTTTAGGTTTACAATACAGAAACCCAAACAGCAAAACGACACAATTTCACAAGAGGAAGTAGGGAGCTGTGTTTTTGTGAGTGCACTGAGTAATTCGGAACCAAATAGAGCTGAATAGAACGCACCATAATTTGAATACAATTGAAACAATATCCACAGTAGCGTAACATTTTGCGAAATTTATAGCTTTAGATGAAGTAAATATATCCCCTTCTAACACGAAAACTCATATTATTCAATCCTTCTCCACAAAAGTTACATACTAATATTAAAGGTCCTAAGCAGAATGAGGATGAGGAGGTGGTGGCCAGTGGTGCAAATGAACCATTAAGAGTAAAAGATTTTTTTAAATAGTATTTTTTTTACACTTTACAAATCAATAAAAGTCAAGCGACTGCAGTTGTGGCTGGAATGAGAATTCAAGTTTTGACATTTGAAACAATAAACATAAATAAATACCACAGACATTTAAGAGAACAACATAATATTAAAGCAATTTTTGTTTTATTTTCTTTTCATAATGCAAAGGGTAAAGGGCCATATTTGGAGGTCCTTTAATGCTGGTATTTATTCAATTACAGGTGGTTCTTTAGATCAAAAATACAGGCATTCTGACTATGAGCGGGGTGGCCTCTGCACAGATCTTACCTGTAACTCAGTCTGGTTTGGTCTCCATGAAGATAGAAAGGTGTAATACCATACTATGCATTGGTATTACAATGTTCAAGACAGAGCAATAACATCTCCATGGAGAAAAGCTTTTGACGGACCCTCTACCAGAAAAGTTACACAATGCACCTTTAAACAGATGTATTTTAAATATTATAGGAACTAGAAAGTAGCATTTTGGTTTTGGGGGGCTTTTTAGGTTTTCGGTACTTTCCAGTTAGCCCAGAAACCTCTGTGTGGTTGTGGGTTATAGCTGTTCCTTTAGTTTGCTGACAGCTGCGTGAATGAACCAGCTTTTTGAAAGATTTGACAATTTATTCTTACAATGCTGTTACTCTGCCCTACTCTGTTGGCCAAAATTGGAATCAACAAGGGAGGTGCCTCTCATTACTGAGAAAAAAGTATTTGCTACTATTGACTGGGCAAATAATAGAATTGTAATCAAGACCGGGATTCAGACATGTCTAATCGTCAATGAAATGTTAGCGGTGTTAATTGAGAAGCGCAGTCAGTCCTCTGAGAGTAAAAGAATATTGTTTGGAGCAGCTCAGATTTTGGAGAAATAAATTGGGATCTTTTTTTTTTGTTAAATGGAATTGATTGGTGACAATAATTGAAGGAGCGCTGTGCAACCTTTCTCGTGGAGGTTCCGCTACCTACTTGTCTTTATGGAAATGTTATTACTTTGTCTAGAATGTTCCACAGTATAGATTAAACCTATCACAAGGGAGACAGGCAGGTTACAAAAAAAATAAACAAAACAAAACAATAAATAAAAGGGAATTGAAATTTCAAGTCAGTCAATGAGAGGAAATATCATGATCCTTTTTTTCCATATCACCCAGCCCTTGTTTTGTTTTACATTATGTTTTGTGCCTAAGTGTTTTCATACAGACCAAACCCTGAGTTGGTGCCCTCTGGTAGCTCATTGGAGGGTCCATTATTTGTGTGAGGCGAGAGAAATAGACTATTGACCTTAATGGCAGAGCTGCTTAAATGAAATATTGATGTCCCCTTCTTGGCGAGGAAATGTGCGTGAGTGTGCGCTCATGTGATGTTGTACATGTATATTTATA